CACGCCCCCTACTGGGGACCAAGCCCGAAACCCGGGCATGTGCCCTGACGTGGTTCATAGGTTAATGCTCAACCACTGAGGAGCCATACCAATTTTAGAAAATGAGCAAAGGACATGAACCGAAACTTTACAAAAGCACCAATGGCCAATAAGTATAGAGGAAAAAAAAATTAACTTTCACTAGTAAAGAAATTAAAATAATAAACAAGATAACATTTTCCATAAACCAGATTGACAAGTATTAAGAATGGTACTAAGGAAAATGGGAAGACAGAAAGTCATACATGCTGATAGAATGTGAAAAGGAACAACCGTTTTGGAGAAGAATTTAGAAATACGTATGAAAATCCTTTGAAAATATTCATACTATTTGAACTAGCAACTACACTTCCTGTTTATTATAGGAATCAAATGGAGAAGTATGTAAAGATGTGCATCATAATGTTGTAAAAAAAAATCCAAAACACAAGAACAGTTGCAGGGATTGGACAAATTATGGTCCATCCACACAATGAATACAATGTAGCCATTAAAAATGATGATTTACAGGCATATTTACTGACATGAAAATATTTAGCAATACATATCAAACATTAAAAAACAAACATGAAGAGGTATATACCCTGGGTAAACTCTAAGTGGTGGGATTATGGGTAACTATTTTTTTTCTACTTTTCTGTATTCTCTGGATTCTTTGCAATGAAACCATACTACTTTTACAATCAGAAAGCAAATGAAGCTATTTCCATTTTGAAGAAAATTATGACCTAGATCAGTGATGGTGAACCTTTTGAGCTCGGCGTGTCAGCATTTTGAAAAACCCTAACTTAACTCTGGTGCCATGTCACATATAGAAATTTTTTGATATTTGCAACCATAGTAAAACAAAGATTTATATATATATATATTTTTTAAATATTTAAATGCCATTTAACAAAGAAAAATCAACCAAAAAAATGAGTTCGCATGTCACCTCTGACACGCGTGTCATAGGTTCGCCATCACGCCCCTACTGGGGATTTGCCCGCAACCAAGGTACATGCCCTTGACCGGAATCGAACCTGGGACCCTTGAGTCTGCAGGCCGACGCTCTATCCACTGAGCCAAACTGGTTCGGCAGATTTATATTTTTGATATTTATTTTATATATTTAAATGCCATTTAACAAAGAAAAATCAACCAAAAAAATGAGTTCGCATGTCACCTCTGACACGCGTGTCATAGGTTCGCCATCACTGACCTAGATATATAGTTATTGACATGCAATGCATCTACCATACTTAATGTAAAAAATGGTTAGAAATGGTATTTATTGATTTTTTACAGAGAGGGATAGAGAGTTAGAAACATCGATGAGAGAGAAACATCGATCAGCTGCCTCCTGCACACTCCCCACTAGGGATGTGCCCGCAACCAAGGTACATGCCCTTGACCGGAATCGAACCCGGGACCCTTGAGTCCGCAGGCCGACGCTCTATCCACTGAGCCAAACTGGTTAGGACTACAAATGGTATTTAACATCTTTGAAAAATTTGTTGTAGATATACATATATGTATAGAAAATATCTTGGAGAATATATATCAAAATATTAATAGTATTTATTTTGGTAGTAAATTGGTATAGTTTTTACTTATTTATATTTCCTATGATATACCAATGTATTAATTACTTTATTTTGAGTTTATAAAAGAAAAAAGTTGAAGGTCAAGAAAAATTTCTTAATTTTGTGTGGTCAAGTTAGAGCCTTGCAATGGGGAAAGATCAGAAAGTAACTTACTGCATCTTTTGAATCTCATCTTCATCCACTTTCTGCTTCTTCTCTTTCTTTTCTTTGGTGTCTATTTTCAGTTTTTTGGCTGCAGGAGTGAGTAATGATGAGTCTTCCCTTTCAACTGCTGTTAAATCTGAGATGTCCTGACTCTTGAGCTGAGGAGGTGAAAGAAACACTTTTATATATTTGGCCTACTTTCCAGACTCGGTAAGGTAAGAAGACATCATTCTCATGACAACACAACAAATCCACTTATTCAATGGTAGGATACACTATCTCCCCGAAAGAAATTTATAGCCCAGCTGTGGAAAGAACACTAGTGAAAAATCCAGTTTTCCAGTTTAGGTTGCTCATGGCTCCCACATTTGTTTACAAGGGCAATACAACGCCAAGGATCATGAAAACCTTTCCCCCTGAGCCCACTCTCCCAACCTCATTCTTAGAGGGGATGTCAGAAAAGTCCTTTCCATCCAGCCAGCTCTTCTGCCTCTAAGCCTATAGATCTCTTTACTTGAGATGATTCCATGTGGAAAGAATATTAAAAAGGAGGCATCTTCTCATCAAAACAGTGTTTCTTTGAGTTTGGAACATTTAAATGAGCTTCTCCCACATGTAGTACTCTTTTCTTCCTATCTTTTAATTCTACAGCATCATGCAAATATTTACTAGGCTGAAAACGTTGTGAAGACAGGTTTGTCTCATCATTTATCTCACCCCACGAAAGCGTTTAGCATAGTTTTATTTATGCTAGATTTTAAAATTATATAGATTTCAGAGAGGAAGAGAGAGAGAGAGAAACATCAATGATGAGAGAGAACCATTGATTGGCTGCCTCCTGCACGCCCCACAGTGAGGATCTAGCCTGCAACCTGGGCATGTGCCCTGACCTGGAATCGAACTGTGACCTGTGACCTCCTCGTTCAGAGGTCGATGCTCAACCACTGAGCCAGGCCAGCTGGGCCAGATTCCTTCTTAAAAGTTTCACAACATTGTTCTTTTTCTAAAAGTCCTTACTTTCTATATTTTAATAAAACCTGATGCTCTGAAAGGCTGTTTCTGTCTAATCCAGTGGTTCTCAACCTTCCTAATGCCGCGACCCTTTAATACAGTTCCTCATGTTGTGATGACCCCCAACCATAAAATTATTTTTGTTGCTACTTCATAACTGTAATTTTGCTACTGTTATGAATCGTAATGTAAATATCTGGTATGCAGGATGTATCTTTCATTGTTACAAACTGAACATAATTAAAGCATAGTGATTAATCACAAAAACAATATGTAAGTATATATGTGTTTTCCGATGGTCTTAGGCGACCCCCAAAGGGGTCGCGACCCACAGGTTGAGAACCGCTGGCTAATCTAATGTCCTTCCACGATCTCTTTAAACGCCATACTTACAGCTCTAAGAGCCTACGGTTCTCTCTCTAGAAGGGGAACCCAGAGAACCCCGAGCTTCTGGTCCCCTGGCTGACGCTCGGCTAGCGAGCACTGCGGCGCTTCGGCCTCGCACAACTGATGGGTCTGGTGTGTTTATGCGACAGAGAGACCCTGGACATAAGGTGAGTAAAGCGGTCACGCCCCTCAGCCTCCCTTTAACGGCCCTGCTGCCTAGAATAACAACGTTATGCTCAGCAACAGCGGTGAGAACCACAGGGCAGTGGAAGGGATTCTAGGCGTCCTGGGTTCTCGCTCTTGCCTGTCTCAGGGAGACATCGGATCCCAACTTCCTCACCAGGAAAACCAAGACGCTATTAAAATCCCCTCAGAAGGAGTGTTAATAGTCAAGGGCCGGGATTAAAAATATGAACCCCGTGATTGGGTCTCCCGGACCGGACCAGCCCTACAGTGCGGCCTCCGCCCACCCCGACCCGCCTCCGCGACTGCAGATCGGAGGGACCCTGTGCGTCCCAATGGTCCCGGCCTGGGCGGGGGATGGGGAGCCACAGGCAGGCGGTGGCGCAGCCAGAGCACCATCTCGGGGTCTTCTCGGCCCCGCCAACGTCTCCCTACCTCGCCTTCCTCTGTCGCGGCTTCTTTCAAATCCCCGTCTCCGTCCGCGTCCGCTTCCTCCGGGTGTCCGTCCGCGTCGGTGGCCCCAGGGCCCGCGGCCGCCTCGTCGGACACCTCTGTCTCCCCGCCTTTTTCCGCGGGCGACTCGCAGGCGCCATCCATCGCCATCCATCGCAGCCGAATGCGGGTCGCGGAACCGCCACACACCCCCACACCGGAAGTTGGCAGCTCACTTCGGGTCGTCGCGCCGCGATGACGTCACCCGGCCGGCTCCTCCGCGGTCATTCGGCGGCGACGTGCGGGCTCCGCGGGGCTCCGCGGGCTCCGCGGGCTCCGCTTTAAGCGTGGCGGTGGGAGCGAGCACGGGTTTCAGCTGGTGGGCTTTCCATCCCGGGAAAGCCGCCGGTTAAAGGGGAGCTGCACGGCTTACCGGAGGCCTCCCTCTCCCTGCCGCCTCTCACGCCCCCACGGGGTTTGTCCAGCCCATTTGTCCACTCCACGCCATTGAGTGCCCGCTTCGAGCCGGGAGCAGTGCTGGTGCCAGAAACAAACATAGTTTATGCCCAAGTACATGACTTCTCCAATCGCGGGCACCCACGGTCGGGGGCGGTTCCCCACACCTGACTTTCCCGGCAGCTTGGTTAATTCCATCAAGAGTAAGAGGAAAACACCTGCGGGAGGGAGGTTCTTTTATTTTGAATTTCACTTGAGGCGCCATTCCAGGGAGTGGGAGCATGAAGTGGGGATACTTCCATTTTCGAACTTTCCTCCGTCGTTGAGGTACTGAGGGGCGTTTTGCTCGCCCCTGTGCACTGGGCCCACCCCCCGCTGCTTAATGTCCGCGCACGGACGCGTGGACCGGGAATGCGGGTGCGCGTTACCACAGCTCCCTCTTTGTTTCTACGGCCCGCATGACCGTATTCACGGCCTGGGCTCCCAAACCTTCGGGAAGGGCGCGCTTCGGAGGCGGACACAGGTGGGCCCGCGGCCCCTCCACCGGTACCGCGGGCGACCGCACGGCGCCCTCCTCTCGCCCCCGGAGGCCCCACCGGCCACTGCGGGCCCACGTGGCGCACACGGCCACCTGCGCCGCCCGCAGCCCCGCCCCGCTAGGTGGGCGCTGGGCGGGCGCGGCGCGCCGTGACGCGTGACGCCGGATCCCGGAAGTGACGCGCTGGTGGAGGGGGGGAAGGCGGGGGGAGGGGGGTGGTGTCCCCGGCCGGTTTTGGGGGGGTGCGTTGCCCGGAGACGGAAAGTTTGGGAGCCAGAGCCGGCTCGGCTGCGGCCCCGGGAGGGGGTCCAGGGGGCGGTGGCCCTGGGGATGGGGAAGGAGCAGGAGCTGCTGGAGGCGGCCCGCACCGGGCACCTCCCGGCCGTGGAGAAGCTGCTGTCCGGGAAGCGGCTCTCCTCCGGCTTCGGGGGCGGCGGCGGCGGCAGCGGCGGCGGCTCCGGTGGCGGCGGCGGCGGCGGCGGCCTCGGGTCCTCGAGCCATCCCCTCTCCAGCCTGCTCAGGTGGGTACCCGGCGCCGCGCAGCCGCCTGGGGACTAGTCTCCTGGGTCCCTAGAGAGATCGAGGCTCCCGAGACCCCGGCCGGGTGGGTTTTCGGGGTGCCCCGAGGCGAGGGCAGACGGCCATCGGGATCAGGGACGCTGGTGCGGGTCCGAGAGGCGCCGGGCTCTCCAGGTCTGGTCTCCTGACCTGGCTACGAAGAATGGTGGGAGTGCCCAGGTGCAGCCTCTGCCGCATGGCACAGCCTGACTTCACCCTCGCTCGCTCTAGGGTGCCAGCGGTCGTATGCAACAAGCCACTTTAGAGCAAAATACATATATATATATACCTGGTATTTTAAAAATCTCCCCCTCCTCCTGCAGAAACTGCCCATCCTTGCAGAAGCTCGCGGCGCCCCTGGAGGAAATTCTCTTGCTTCCCTTCTTTTGGGAACTTGGAATCTCCCACCGGGCTCCGCAGGACCTGGCTTTTGTTGTTTACATTAAAATTGTCTCTGGACTTAACACCTTTAGGGTGTTCTTTGAGCCCTTCTTGTGCTTGAAGCTCAGACTCGAGTTCTTGCAGTGGACCTCATTGGATTAGTCAGCCTGTTAAGTGGCAGATGCAGGATTCATTAGGGAGCTTATTCGTCAAGAAATAAAACTTCAGAAAAGACTTGCTTAGGGAACGGAGGGGTGCTCTCAGCTTCTCCACGGTCTGTTAAAATAAACACTTGAACCTGAGCTGTAAGGATTGAGAAGGAAAGATCTCTTTGCATGGCTTGGAGGGAGGGATTGTCAGCGTGAGTAAAATGTGTTGGCTCAGCAGCACTTTCATAGCCTGTTTTCTTTTCCTTCCTTGTTCTTTTGAGGTTTTTAAGAAGTGGAAGTTCATTTAGAAACGGCGTGGTTTGCTTTTGTTCCCCTTTAGTTTATGTAACGTCAATTTGGGTGAGCTTGGACCAAGGAAGCCCGAGGCTCTAATAAATTGTTAGGCACTAAGCACCGCACCGAGTGGGAACCCCGCTCTAATATAGAAAGATTTTTTAAAGTAATATAAGAGAAGAACTCTCCTTAGGCGTTGTTTTGGGGGTTAAGACATCAGGACGTGCAATTTCTCCAGCCCCTGGAAAAATGCTGCCACACAATTGGTATTCAGGGTTTGTTGAGTAAGAGTATTAGAGGACAATACATTTCTAAATAAACTGATGGTGATACCGTAATTGTTAGTAGTTCAGAGAAATGAGATGGATATCCGGGTTTCCTGGAGAAGGGGGACTTCAGCTGGCTTTGAAGGAAGTAAGGGTCTGGGTAGGCGAAGTGGAGTGTGCCAGGTGGGCACACCTGGAGGGGAGGCGCGGAGTGGGAAAGGAACCTTACGTGGTGTGAGTGGGACCCAGAAGAACTTCCTGCTGGAGCCTTGAGTGGTAATGATGAACGGATGGATGGATACATTTCCATCTTGCGGAGTGATTTCGTCTTCTCATGTTTATATGCCCAGTCCCTCGATCACAGGTGTTGAAAAATGTACTTCAAATGAGCGGATTGGGTTTTGAATCTTCCCTGGATTGCTTTGATATTTCTGCACTTCTTGAAGTCTGAGAGATGAGAAAGACTCTACAAGTTCTGAGGTGCCTGTTTCTAATGAGTGGAATGATGTAGCATTTGGAGGTTTGCCAGAGATACCGTAACCCCCAGTACATCCTGCTGAAGTGAGAGACTTTCACATCTCTCCTGCCTTCAAGCACAGGTCACGTCACTCTTGGTGCTCTCACTCAGAGACTGTTGAAATTTTGCTGAGGAGTTAGCTGCCATGTAGTTAAGCAAGACTAGGAAGTCTTTGATGAGCACAGTGTTTTTACTTTGGGCCTCCTGCTAACAGAATATGTCCAGTTTGTCGTAAAGTGTGCATGGTGGTGTCTCCATTCCCTGCGTAGGAGAGCTGATTCCTGACTTGCTCCTGTGGCTGTTGGAGAGATGGTAGATAGCCTAGGAGCCAGCGTCTCCTCCCTGTGACCCCTGGGGGCAGGGGGGATCTGCAGGCACTTGTTCCACTGGGTGTGTCATTAATTAGAGGTGACTGGTTCAATCTAGCCAGAGACTTGTAAGCAAACGAGACCGTGTGTTTAAATAATCCCTAGGTCAGCATGTCCTGCCTTTGGAGATTTGGGAATAGGATAGGGTGGGTCCCCCTGCCCACCACCACCCACCTCAGGGACCCTGGGTGTTTAACTAGAGCAGTGGAATCGTAGTTTCAGACTTGGCCTTTGCATTAGCTTCCCTGCCCTGCCCCCACCGGTACTGCCAACTACAGGCGACGTTTGTCCAGCTGTTTGAGTGACCAAGTAAAGCGGGCAGGAGTAGGAGCTTACAGATGCAGTGCATATAAATGTTCCAAACCACACGTGTGCTTGTCTTTTCATTTATCGATCTGTCCCTCTAGTCCTCTGTGTGTGACCCTCCCCCTCATTCCACAAAAGCTTTGTGCTTATTCTTAAGCTACACAGTGCCCCTCCCCTTTTCTCTTCCACTGCTAGGGCTTAGGTCTTAGCTTCGCAAAGCTGTCCCTAATGACCCCAGTGCACACTGATCTCTCAGGCTTCCACTTTGGAACCCATCATCTGTACTGTAACAGTAGTTGTCGACGAATACTTTGCTTGCCCAGCTTCCACAGTTTATTGGTTTGGCCTGTCAGTATAATGCTTACATGTAGTAACCCTCACCATTGAGAACGTACCTGAGAGTCAGAAAGTCAGCAAAGAAGACTTCTAGAGTAAAAAAAAAAAAAGTTGTTATTAACTGCCTGCCCTTCCGCCCGTCCCTTATTTACCTCGTACATTCAGGGGCAGCGGAGTACTGTGCTGAGGCCACTTGTCTGGAGTCAGGCCGCCTGGGTTCATGTTACTACCGCCACTGACGATACAGATTACTCAACCACTCTGAACCTTAATATCTGCACATAAAATGGGGATAATATTATCTGCCTTATAGGACTGTCTTAGGTAATATGTGTAAGAAACCCCAATTTCTGGCACATTGTAAGTACTGCTAGCCATTCTCAGTTCAGTTCAGCACATACAAGCTTGCCATGCTGCACCTGCTGTGTGTGAAGTATCATGCCAGACATTTTAAATGGTGTTATTTCTCGCTTGGGTGTCTTTTCCAAACTATGGCAGATAAGAAACAGGAAATAAGGGAACGGACCTGCTCAGGCAGGCACATTAATGCCACTCACTTACCAAATGTTTACCCTTCATCTGCTTTGTGCCAGGCCGATTGCTAGACACACTGCTAAGTTTTAGCTCAGACCTGGCATGTAGTAGGTACTCTATCAAAATTAGTCCCACCCACGCCTTTCCCCCCCAGCAGCCTTGCCTTTCTCTCTCCTAAGCTCCAAGGGCCCTTCTGCTGCCTCTGTAACTTGTTTCCTGAGCCTACACAGTCCAGCTGGCTCACCGCTACCTCCCTAACTTTCTAAATAAACTTTCTCACACTTTGGAAAAAAAAATTAGTCCGTCTCCCAATACATGGTCTTACAGTGTTTATGGTAGTATGTTATGTCTGTATGATTGACAAAATTAGAAACAGAAAAAGCAATTAAAATCTAGGATCTTGCTCCCCCCCCACCCCCCCCTTAATTTAAGACTATTAACATAGAGGTATATAGCCCTATACACCAGGTGAGGCCCCAAGTATCACCAAACTATAGCTTAGTGCTATAATTCCTGTTTATTATGACTCTTAGCCATTAAATAAAGATTAAATTATGTTCACTATAGCTTGCTAATGAAAGTAGGAAAAATATTTTGGTTTTCTATCCAAAATGATTCAGATGTAATTTTTGTGACTTAAAAGGACAAGAAGTAGATTACCTAGAAAGCGTAGCTGTCCAAAATATCTAGTGCTACAGACGTTCTGGAGAGCATGGATTTTACCTTACATAGTGGCTCACGTCCTGATGGTTGAACAGACGCATGCCTCAGTCTGTGGCTCGGACAGGCACTGTGTTCAACTTTTTTTTCACAAATTGTATTTTCTGTTTGTCACCCGTAAGTCTGAGTTAAGCAGATTCTTGGACTGGGGCGCATGTCCGTCCGCTCGTTCACCTTTAGCACCTGTCTCATCCCCAGTAGGTTTCCCAGAGCTGCGACCTTCTCCGTGAAGCTCCGTGAGTTTCCCCAGTTCAAACTTGGGCTTCTTCAGCGTTTGACTTTCTGCCAAAGACTTCTCGGAGCGGATAACTAGGTTGGCCAGCCTTTTCCATGTCTTTCCCAGTGCGATCTGGAGTCATTTTATTGACTTCGTTCAAGTCATTTGTCAGCTCTCTCGGGTCATTTCCATCATTTCCATCATCTTCCGGGTTTGGCAGACCTGTTGATAAGCATCAGAGGTCTTCTGAATCTGATTGTTTTAATTTTAATTTTTAGTAAAACCAGCACAGAACAGATGAAGCAAATAACCATCCATAGTCTTGATACCGACATGAGCTCAGTCATGGTCTGCCATGTATTGACCATGGAGCACATTTTGTCATGGGTAAGATCCAGGCCATGGAAATTAGGCAGTTTTTGCCCTGAGTGTCCTCAGTAATAAGCTTGAATTATCTAAACGCAACTTCATTCTGCAGGTCAGTGAGGCTCATTTAAAAAATGAGACCCCTGAGACCATCAGGTGCAATTCTGGTTCCTCGAATTCTCGTGACGAACGTTTTCCACCATTTCGTATATTGAGCATAGCGGGAGCTTGCACGTCATGCCAGTCTTTCTCAGAGAATGGGTCAGACACTCTTCCTGGCTGGCACTCGATCTTGATGGCCGCCTCGGTGCTGCTCACAGAGCCAGAAAGGCGGAAGTGCAGCTCGCCAAACTTCTTTTAACTCAGGTATTTTTTAGCCCTGGGCCATAGCAGGCACTCAGATTCCCACGTGACGAGAGTTTATAGTTAGGGAAGCTACTGATTTCCAGGAAAGCAGCTTCTGTATGAGAATTCACTAAGATTTGGGTTAAAGATGAATTCTGTCAACT